CATAATGGTAACCATTGTTGACCACCTAGTAATCTCTTTTTGCATTATATACTATGTCCATCCTCCTGTTCTAACTGACTCTGTTTTACTTTGTCACATTGGGTTTTTTTGTTGTTGTTGTTGTTCTGTTTTGTTTTGTTTTGTTCTTTCTTTTTTTCTTCAAAGAAAAAGTTATAAGAACTGTGGGAGTAATGGAACCCAAAATGTGTGATTGTTAGCATAAAAAAGAGAGGAAAGAAAAATCTAAAGGATATAACTGCAAGTATATTTAAGTGCGTAGGATAGAAAACCGTATTACTGAGTTTGTGTTGGATCATTGAACAGAACTGTCTGCAATCTCACTGTATTTATGTCCACTTTGTATGCTTTAATTTTGTAACCTGGAAAACTGTTTCTGAGATGACAATATGTAATCTATTAACTAGTGAATTCTTACTGTATATTTTTTCTCTTGAAATTCTGTATTACTTGTAGCCTTTTACTGTTTTGTTTTGTTTTTCTCTTTAAATGAAAAAAAGAAAAAAAAAAGAAATTCAGTGTAAGAACAGAATATTAAAAGCTGTTAGATAAAAAAAAAACAAGTCATCTGTAAAGGAAAGATCATCAGAATCACAGCAGACTTCTCAAGACAAACAATGAAGTCAGGAAGAGCATGGAGTGAAGTATTTTAATTGCTAAAAGAAAAATGATTTCCAACTCAGATTGACGTACCCTGCAAAACTGTCCTTTAAAATTGATAGAGAAATAGGATACTTCCATGACAAAGAACAGCTGAAGAGTTTCATGACCACCAAACCAGCCCTGCAAAGAACACTGAAAGATATTCTAGATGGACATAAAAACAACTACACCTCCAAGGGCACCAACCAAAAAAAGCCATGAAGCAGGGTAGACAAAGAGAGGAGAAAGGTAAAGAACCAACAGCAGAAAGATAATATGACAAAAATGAGCCAATATATATTAGTTATAACCATTAATGTAAATGACCTCAATTCACCCTTTAAAAGAAATAGACTGGCAGAATGGATCAAGAAACAACATCCAGATGCTGCACACAAGAAAACCATCCAACCCAAAAGGAAATCATAGACTGAAAGTCAAAGGATGGAAAACAATACTTCATGCAACAGGAAGCCCCCCAAAAAGCAAGAGTAGCTATACTGTTTGCAGATAATATGAACTTCACATGATGAAGGATCAAAAGAGACAGGAAAACAGAAGAAAGCCTGCTCTAAATAGGTATTGATACCTTACGGCTGCTTTTATTTTATTTATTTATTTAAAAGAAATAATGAAAAGAGGAAATAAAGGTTATTCTTTGTAGTATTTCCCTAGCTGTCTGGGTTGTGTTCATAAAGTCTGTTTACATGTATGTCTTCAAGATTTCTGCCTGTTTTCTTTGTAGATTTAGTGTTTCTATTTTAATATTAGGTCTTTGATCCATTTTGACTTTAGTTTAATGCATGGTGATAGACTTGGTTCTAGTATTAGTCTTCAACATATGAAGAGACAGTTTTCCAGCATCATTTATTAAAGAGGCTATCTTTCGTTCAGTGAACATGTTTACCTCCTTTGTCAAAGATAAGGTGACTGAATGTGTTTGAGGATGTGTCTTCATCTTCTATTCTGTTCCACTGATCCTCAAGCCTGGTTTTTTTTTTTTTTTTTTTTTTTTGCCAATACCTTGCTGGGTTATTTGTTTGGTTTTTAATCACAGTAGCTTTGTGATTTCAGGCCTGGGATTGTGATGCTCCTGATTTGCCTTTGTTGCTCAGAATTGCTTTTGTTATTCTCAGTTTTTCTAGTTCCAAATGAATTTTAGGAATGTTCTCGCTAGATCTGTGAAGTATGTTAATGATATTTTAATTTGATTTGCATTAAATCTCTATAACAGTTTTCGGAGTATAGCTGTTTTCACTATGTTGGTTCTTTCTATCCAAGAGCAAGGCATATCTTTCCATTTTCTGATATCTTCTTCAATCTCCTTTTTTAGGGTGTTATATTTTTCACTGTACAGGTCTTTTACTTCCTTTGTTAGATTAATTCCTAAGTATTTCATTTTTTTGTGAATTCCTAAGTATTTCATGTTGTTGTGGAGGATGTGCTTTCCCTAATTTTTCTCTCTGAGTTTGTTACTTATATGCAGGATTGTTACTGACTTTTGAGTGCTGACCTTGTATCTAGCTATGATACCAACTTTGGATATTAAGTCTACAAGTGTTTTGGTTGAATTTTTGGTGTCTTCTATGTAAAGTATCATGTTATCTGTAAATAAGCATAATTTAGCGTCTTCCTTTCCTATCTTTATTCCTTTTATTTTTTTCTCTGTTCTAATTGCTGTGGTTAATGTTTCCAAAGTACACTGAATAGAAACGGTAATAATGGGCATCCTTGTCTTGTTCCTGATTTTAGAGTCAAGGCTTTCAGTTTTTGACCACTTAATATGATATTAGCTATTGGTTTGCCACAGATGACTTTTTGAGGTAAAGACCAGCTATTCCAATTTTCTGTAGGGTTTTTTTTTTTAAATCATAATGGATGTTAGCACTCTATTGAACAACCAGCTGGTCACAAAGGAAATCAAAACTGAAATTAAACAGTATATATGATCAATTGATAATGCTGGTACAACATACCAAAACTTAAGGGATACAATGAAAGCAGTCATTAGAGGAAGATTTATAGTGATGAACTCACACATCAGGAAAATAAAATGAGCTGAAATAACCTAATGTTAAACCTGAAACTTCTAGAAAAAGAAGTACAAATTCAACCCAAAACTTATCCAAAAGAGGAAATTATAAAGATAAGGGCAGAAATTAATGCATTAGAAGTTAAGAAAACAATACAGAGAAGCAATGAATAAAAAAGTTTGTTCTTTGGAAGAATAAATAGAATGAATAAACCATTAGCCAATCTCATCAAAAAGAGAAAAGAAAAAACACAAATTCAAACAATTAGGAATAAAAAGGGGAAAATCACAATGGATCCCAAAGAAATCAAAGAGATCATCAATACCTGCTACGAAAACCTATACTCTAATAAGGTGGAAAACACAGAAGAAATGAGTAAGTGCCTAGACACAGTCGAATTACCAAAACTAAATTAAGAAGATATAAAAATTTTAAATAAACCAATATCATACAGTGAAACTGAAAATGTAATAAAGAAAAGCCTAGGGCCCTGACGGATTCAATGGTGAATTTTACAAGAAATTTAGAGGTGAATTAATGCCAACAATTCTAAGCTGAAACTTTTTAAAGAAATTTAAAGAAAAGCTGTTCTTTCAAAGTCATCCCTGGAAGCAAATATTACCCTGATTGAAAAACTAGGGAAAAACCAAAATAAGAAAGAAAACTATAGGCCAATTTCCCTAATGAACATGGACGCAAAAATTCCTAATAAGATACTAACAAACAGAATACAGGAAATCATCAAGAAGATCCTACACTATGACTAAGTAGGATTCATCAGGGATGCAGGAGTGGTTCAACACATGCAAATCAATAAATCTAATACACCATATTAGCAGACCTAAAGACAGAAATCACGTAATCATCTCAATAGATGCCGAAAAGGTAGTTTGCAGAGTAGGACTGGTTTTGTGTTAAGGGTATTGCTGGTTCAGAGCGAGAGATAGATACATGAGATGGACAAAGACAGTTATTACAGTAAATATAAGCCAAGGATATTTCCAGATTGGCATTGGGAGAAGAGGCTTTGGTTCAGCAGGCTCTCCTTTGGGCCTCCCTGAAGAGGGATTCTCTAAGCTGACTTGTGAAAGCTGACTACAAGTACAAATTGTGAAGATAATATTGAAGAGGGCAGTGAGCTATCCAAGCCTGCTATAGGGATTTCAAACAATTCAGTATTGCAGAATGGAGAAAGCAAGGATGTGAATGCACACGAAGCAGAGCTGGGCATGTCCATCCCATGGAATGTCAGTGGAAAGGGCTTATTTTATAAAGTTTGTTCTTGATAACCTATGTAAAACAGATGGAAGGTTGGGAACAATAAGGATGATAAAGAAGCAATGAATTACTTAGTGAGATAGAGGCAAAGAGGTATGACATACCTATAGCTTGAGCAATCAGAGTAGGGATAGCTAACGCAAAAATGAAGTCACAGACTAGGCTAAACAAAGACTTTGAGTTGACTTTTATCAGATAGATGCAAAAGATTTGTATGGAAGAGTATAAAATAATTAGGGTGACTTGAAATGAAGCAAGAAGTCTTCCTCTTATTACATATTTTCTAGGTTAAAATGACTATATTATTTACAAAAATCAGTACTTTTGAAAAATCTTTTTTGTTATAGAAAATTTTGATATATGCAAAAGTAGGTAGAGTGTAACAGTGAATACTTCCAGGCCAATCTTGCCCTGACTGTAATGCCACTTATTTTCTCTTTTCATGTTATTTTGGAACAAATCCCACATGTCATATTCTGTTATATATAAACATTTCACTATGTAATGATCTATTTAAACGATAAGAAACTGGAATTTTTAAATTTAATTTTTAGAGTCGTACTATGTTGCCCAAAGTGGCCTTCAACTTGCAGCAGTCTTCCTGCCTCAGTTTCCAAGTGATGAAATTAGAGGCATATACCAACATACTCAGCTAAGACACAGTTTTCAGCATGACTAAAATTATCGATATCATATCTAAAGCATAATTCAGTTTAATCAAATATAACATCAATATTGTGATTTCTGATTGTCTCCAGCTATTGTATAAAGATAGAAATGAAAGTGTTCATCTATAGAGTTTGTTTTATCAAGATACAAATAAAGGTCTGAGATTCTTCTGAAAGTGAAAGGAAAAACTACCAATAATTCATAGGTGTACACAGGAGCTTCAGTTGAAAGAGGGATACATCACCGCTTTCTTTGGTTTATTGTACTTCCTCAGTACCTCTGCAGATATCTCAGTTGCTATTTGGCAATATGAAAGAAGCCTAGCTTATATCACTGGGTCTGTCTCTCTCATTTTTCTAGGTCTCTCTGTTCCCTGGTGTGCAAATGGACATACTCGGCAGAGAAAGGTTGGGATGACAGTTTCTGGAAGATGATTGGTTTGGAAGACTTTGTTGCTGATAATTACAGCAAAATAGGTAAAAGAATACAAAATATGTAGAATGATCTTTTATGTGTATATGAAAATATTGCTTTCTTGTTTTGTTTTTACTTGAATTATAATGTAGGAACATAACTCAGTCTTTTCAAGACTAGGTTTTTCCAGATGATCCCATTGTGATGGGCAGGCTATGACAATAGATCCTTGTGTTAGGACTTGTTTGACCGAGTGTTGAAACATGGTATGAAAATCATGTTGAAATACAGAACCACAAAGTTTTTCAGACTGAGGAGGATCTTTGCATGGAGTAGTTAGGTCTGTCATAATCAAGGGGATATATATGAACCATTTCTAGACTGTAGTAGGAAAATTGTTTTGTGAGTTAATTTCAGGGGACAAGGGAAGGCTGTGTAAAGTTTCCTGTGTAAGGCTTTCCAGGCCCATACTCCCAGTTTCATATGGCAGTTAGTAGATTGTACAGGGGGAGTAACTAGTAATTGTTTACCTGGTGAAAATATTTAAGTGGTAGATACACATAGTGACATTTCAGAGTTTAAAGCTTCTAAGGTCATAAGCACATATTTATTTCCTGCAGTTACTACCTACAATTCTAGTTAGCTGTCATTAGGTAAGCAATTATATGTACTTCAGCGGAAATTTTGAAATACAGCTGAATTGGTTAGTGTGCAGGTCAGGATGTTGTAATAAAATTAGACAAGTTAGAATATGACTTCTCTTTAATGGAATAGAATGAAAATAAGTGACTATCAGTGTCGTTCTTCAACATGACCTCTAACTTTGGGCTCAGGTTTGCTAGTTCAGCTCTAGTCAGTTTCTAGCAAGACAAGAAAAAATAAAAGGTCCAAAGGAATCACACACACTCTTTTGGAGGCAGCATGACCTCATTTTTGTTCTTTTCCTGTTCACCAGCCTGCATTCAGAAGCCCTGGGTTGCCATGTGTCCATCCATGACAACTGGTCAGACCTGCTACAACTTCTGCTGACTCACGTTAACTAAATTCTATAGTACTTCAGTCTACCTTTCTTCTCTGGAAGAATCCTTACGACAGTCTATGAATGTTCAAATAGAAACATGAAGAATGATATTCCTGTTATGTTGTCTGTGATCTCTTGATCTACTAAGAGATGAATCTGGCTGGAAGAAGGGAGCCAAGGCTCTATGAAGAAAGTGGTGCTTGAGTTTCTGTGGCTCTGTTGAAACTATCTCTGGATCTGAGTTAGTAGAGAACAGGAGGATCTTGTGAGCAGAGAAGAGAGCAAGAAAACAAAGCAGCAGTCCTCAGTCATCAGCTCCTTTTGGATCTTTTGCGAGGTGATTTGTGTACATTATCTAATTTGGTCTCACAAACATCTAGTTTCACTATTCTTAAATTATAGATATAAAAATTGGAATTCAATCCTTACCTGATATTAAGAAGTGGAGTCTGACTCTTTTCCTTGGGATTTTATTACTTGTATATGTGCATTGATTCCAAACTGTACTTTGAGCACTTCGACACAAAATTTTCACTAATTTACTTCATATTCTTAGTAAAATCAGAAGGCATGGCATATTGCTAACTTACTGTTTGAATATTAAGTGGATAAAATAGTTATTGAGATCACTGAAACTAGGAAGTTGGTACTTCTTGTTTCTAAAAACTGTAAGGATATTTAGTGTCTTAGCAGTAGCTTTGGCAACGTGGGTCTAATTTTAACTCTGACTTTCTGATTATTTTAATGCTTTTCTCTTCTTTCTTATCTCACACAACATACATGTTTAATCAGTATATTAGTTCTGCTAATAAAGCAATACCTACAAGAAATACTCATTAAAAGCCCATAATGTTAATCTAGCAGAAAATTTCCAGGGTGACTTATTAGATTTTGCCTGTTATGTTAATGAATTTTTAACGGATGTCCTAAGGAGACATGTCATTAATCAGAATATTGTTGTATGTGGATTTAAATTTACCCATTCATCAAAATTAATTGTGTGGTATTTTCTTTGATTTTCATTTCTGGTTTTTTGAGCTCAGGATGGTTCAATCTGAATCCAAAGCAAAAGACATCTAATGGGATGTTTACTTTGAGCTCTGAGTTTCAGAAACTCATCTGGAAGCCACCTCTAGACATTGCTAGCAATTCTTGGAACTGTGAAAAATGAATCTCAGAAGCTGCCCTGTGAAGTATTAAACATGTAGTGGCCTTACTGCCCATCAAAATGTGGACAGTATAGCACAAAACCTTTTAACAGATTTGAGCATTGAGCAAGTGTCCTGAATTTGAATACTAATACAATTTACCATAATTTGCTCCACATGGAGCTTTTAGCCAAGTCTTTACCAGGCTTCCTTGTCTCCTCTAGTAAATAAATGCTTTCCCTGAAAACTGAACACCTCAGCAACTGAAGTCTTATGGAGTAATATCTTTAGAATAAATTATTTACAAAGTGTAAGATAAGTATCAGATGCAATATTTATATGGTACATTTCAAGGACAAGGAATATTTACAGTGTTTTAAGTAACTATTTGCAAATTTCTAATGACAAAATATTACTAATATCATTTTTCAAGGAGGCATTTGGATAATTTGCTTGGGAAAATTACAAAAAGTAAAGGAAGACAAGTTCTGTGAATTAAAAGAGCCTAAAATTTCTTTATAATTGAAAAATACTGGTTGAGTTAGTATTCAGAATTGGTGGAGAAAACACCAATCTATTTTTCCCTAGGTGATTTTATCTACCAATGGTCCAATAAAAAGATCTATGTCAATAAATTGTGACCTTCAATTCCATGTGAATCATTTCTAGGTCACATGTCTACTCCAACACATCTATCAAACGTAAACAGGAGGAAACAGATCAGCAGGGAAGATGGATTTTTAGGATGATAAGCAACATCCCACTTGTCCTAATGGATTATACAGGCTCTCTGTCAGCATATCCCAGTTCTCTCTTTACTCCCTGGGAAAAGAGCTTCATTGTGGTATTGGGTGGGATACTTTATGAAAACTCATGTATACAACATTGCTGAATCATGATAATTACTTGCATTACACAGAGAACTCTGTTATATGAAAAGTTTATTATGTTACGTTATACATCACTCATTATTTGTGATTAGGGAAGGCAGGCAAAGAAAACCAAACTCTTGCTCAAGGAGTTTGCAAGAGTTAAGTAGGAAGAAGAAATGAAACAACAGAGTATGTAAAAGGATGTAGTTTCTTGAGGTGAGAGATGGTGTCTTTTTAAAACTGATTTTCTCTTCCCCTATGAGGTGGTATTTTAGGTGCCAGACACTGGACACTGTCTCCTGGTACAGAGTAAATACTGTTGACAGATGTTAGATGCCTGAATATATGTTTGAATGAAAGACTCAAAAAACAGTCTTGCTTTCATTGTCCCTCACAGTTAATGGAGACTCCATAAATTCTTTGAATGTAATAATAATAATAATAGGTTATAGAGAAACAGTGATTTAATGAATTGGTTGTTCACAGTGAAGTTTCACTAACCCTTTACTTAAGGAAGGACTCCTGCAAAAGGCACACCTCAGACCAAATGATAGCTATAACCTCATTCTTATCACAAATGTCTCAAAGATCTTTCCAGGACAGGAAATGTTTTAAGAGCAACAACTTACTTTAGGAAGATTGGAAATTTTACTTTTCCATAGACTTAAAGTTGTAGGCTTAAAATTCCATGTGAAGAATGTTGACATAAATGTGTTGGTTATTACTACTCTTCCATTCTGAGGTCTAACCAGTAGAGAATAATTCACAGAACCATTTTAGACCAAACACAGCATTGGATTTGGACAGGCTGAATTACAGAGCCTGGGAGTCTCCTGCCTCTATCTGGAATCTGGTCAGACTTTGAGACCTCTGTGACACTGACTTATTTATTGGCAGGCTGTGAAGCTGGGACAAAAAGAAAAACAGATTCACTGTGCTTGTCTGTAGCAAGTTGTGCCTTATCTGCTTGGTTCTGAACCCAGGTGGCCTAAAGGCTTGTGTGCAGGTGGCTCAAAGGAAGTACACAGCAAGCCTCTCCAGACTCCACGCCAGGCTGTGACCCCACATTTCTTTAACAAGGCACCATGGATGTTGCATTTTTTAAAATATATGATGGATCAGCCAAATGTTGCCTCTTGGAGGGTGGAAGAGGAGATCCCCTCACTGAAATATACCTAACGGGCTTGTACTATGTCTTAGTTACTTTTTACTTGTTGCTGAGACAAAATACCTGAAGTCCAAGTTGGGAAAGGAAAGGTTTATTTCTTAGTTTTGGGAGGTTTCAGTCCACACACAGTTGGCTCCAAGGCAGGCGGGCATGGCTGGGCCACAGTTCATGGTGGCCACAAACAGCAAGCAGGAACCAGCAAAAAGCAAGACACATCTTCTCCCTGCCATTACATCACATCCTGGCTCCACCCCTAAGTGGGTGGAGCACTGACACCGTCAATCCAAGCACTAGACAATGAAGCATCACAAATGCACAATGCAAACTAATGAGGCTTGGGGGCCACAGACATAAACCATGACATACTATCAATCTGAATCATGATTAGTCTTGGGAACCTGTATCCAGTGATATCATTCATAGTTGTAGGCATTCTAAAATCCTTTTTAAAGCTTTTAAACCCAATGTTCCAAATTTTCCAGTAGATCATACATATTGACAAGGTTTTATCCAGATAGTCTTTGGAATATGAGACTTGATTTTTTTCATTTTGGTGAGAGTGAGGCATATAGTTCACATCTACCATTCTTCCTCCTAGACAGTGACTACTCAGTGTTGCTGCTACCTGTCTTTGTGTCATATGAAATAGGTGGACTTCCTACTAATTTATACCTGGATAGTTGGAGAACCTTTGGCCACAAGGATTCTCAGCCTCTTATAGGTTATGTGGTGCTGGCCCTAACATAGTTCCTATGGACTGAGGTGGCAATTCTTGTGTGTACGCTGGGCCAGGTTTGCCTTCCTGCTCTCCTGGAGCCCTTTTACCCCATCTTCTTATCCCCTTTCTCATTCC